GGAGACCCAAAACACACACGCGAGCCCCAGACGTCAGATACCACCGCACCGGTCCTGAATACGGGAGAAATCCGCCCGGCAAGCATTGAACCTGCCGCCCGCCGCCCCGGGCTCGATGCTCTCCAGGGATGGAGAGGCGCCGCACATCCCCGCCCGGACGCTCCAAACTCTCCCTTTGCCAGCGTGGGAGGCAGGCAGCCATCAAGGCAGGCAGACCCCGCGAGGCTCCCGAGCCTGCCGCCCCCTCCGTCCGCCAGTCTGTCCCCACCCGTAGTCACCCGCGCCTGCCCGCTGCTCCGCGGTTGCCAGCGGGGTTCCCCCGTTGCCTTGGGCGCGCACCGGCTCCTCGAAGGGCAGCTGGCGAGTCTCTCTCCCTTCGGACGGCAGGTGGACTGTCCTCTGTTCCCCTCTGCTGTTGGCCGCCCCGCTCAGCCGCCAAGCCGTCGTCCGACCCGGATCTGTTGTTTCCTGGCTCCCGCTTGGGTGCTCCAACGGGCGCCCCAATCTTCGGCGGGCCGGATTAAAAAGACCAACGGGCCGGATGTGGCCCACGGGCCGTAGTTTGCCCACCCCTGGTATAGGGGCTTAATACATTCACCAGCAACAACGGAAAGTACTCCATCATTGGCATAGTGCCTTCAGTGCCATAGGAAAAGGAAGAATGAATGTTAATAGAGTTTTTCTAGTGCTCAATCTTCATCAGAATAATTGTTATGTTTATGAAATTCATTGAATCTGTACAGGTACTCCTCAATTACAATACAACAGTTCATTTAATGAATGTTCAAAGTTATAACGGCACCGGAAAAATGACTTATGACTGTTTTTCACACTTACAGCCATTGTAGCATCCCCATGGTCACGTGATCAAAATTTGAACACTTGGCAACTGGCATGTGCTTTATGATAATTACAGTGTCCTGGGGTCATGTGATCATCTTTTGTGAGCTTCTGACAAGCAAAGTCAATGGGGAAGCCAGACTCACTTAACAACCATGTTATTTAGTTAACAACTGCCATGATTCACTTAAAAACTGTGGCAAGAAAGATCACAAAATGGGACAAAACTCACTTAACAACTGTCTTGCTTAGCAACAGAAATTTTGGGCTCAATTATGATCGTGCACTGAAGATTATCTGCATTGATTGCAACCAGAAGACTGCTTCCCATCCTGTTTCACAAATCAGCCATGCAAGAAAAAAAAAAAAGACAGAGGGTTTTGGTGATGGTACCAAATTTGAAAAATATCCATAACTATGGAGATTTGTTAGGCCCATGTTTAAAGAGTTATTGAACATATTTTTATATATTATCTTTTGAAGTTATCTGAAGTTCTTTAAAAAAAATTCAGTCTCTTGACTTACATTTCAGTATTTTCTAAATTCAGGTACACAGTCTAATTACACTGTACCACTTGAAGATAGTGGAAGGGACATATTCACTTGAGGGCACCTCAATTGTACAGGAAGAAATCTGATTGCTACTTTAACAGTAGTCATGATAACTACCATTTGTTATTCCAAGAGATCTTCAGAGTGATATTACATGATTGTATAAATTTATCTGGAGAAAAATAGCAGTGTCCTTAGAAAACCATTTTATCTAGAGACACATCATATTTTAATCACTCTAGGGCAGTGATCCCCAACCTTTTTTATGCCGTGGCCCGGTACCGGCATCAGCTGGGCGCCGCCATCTTTTTTTGATGAAAAAGTGCTTCCGGTGAGCTTTCTACCCGGAAAAGCTCACCGGAAGCATTTTTTCATCAAAAAAAGATGGCGGCGCCCAGCAAACCAGCGGCCCGGTAGGACTTGTTCCGCGGACTGGTACTGGTCTGCGGACCGGTGGTTGGGGACTCCTGCTCTAGGGGATGGGGTAGAATTGTGGCTATTAGAACTATAATGGCAGAATATAGTCTCTCCATTTTTTGTGGCTTTCACGTTCCTTTTTAATTACTAGCATGATTCCTCCAATATGGATATTGTAATGGACTTTGGGAATATCCTTGAAAGACCGCCACAGCCAGGGCAATAGTCATATAAGATATATCTCAGACCACAGAAGGAACGGAGGTGTAGAAAACATCTCAGAAGTTCCCTAGAAAGTAAAGGTAAGGCAGGAGAGATGTGCTTTCACACTTGCAATATTCTATTCCTACAGTTTGATAACAAAAAGTAGTTTATTACTCATGGTTTTGGTTTCTTGTTTGGACTACCTCAAATGGCTGTAGATGTTCTGTTTAGTTGATCTGGTTAATAGATCTTTGTAGCTTGAAAGTGTCCCGCCCCCCCTTTTTTTATTGTGGGATGAAAAATAGATAACACACTACTTCTAAAGATAAGTGTCATGAAATTTACTTATTTGTTGCATTATATCATATTTTTTCTCTTGAGCACTCAGTAGCATATTAAAGAGATGAGAGAAGATCTCCCCTCATTTGATTCTGACAAATCAATATTATAAGGTAGACTAGAGTGAGATCAAGATGGAAGTGTGAAGTGTGTTTGGCCTAAATACACTCACTGAGCTTTTTGGTCAAGTAGGAACTTCAATTTGTAACTCCTTGTTCTCTATCCAGCATTTTAGCTACTACATTATACTGTTGATAAGGATACAAGTATTTGATTAGTGAAATTTGTTTATTGATTGATTGGACTTATATACCACTCTGGTTTGAAAAGATCTGCAAGTAACTAAGTATAAGATAAGGTTTCTAGTTAAATAGTTAGAGTCAACTGAGAATTGGAAAGCATTTTTTATTGTTTTTTTTTTTTTTTGCTATTTTGATCACTGTCGGGTGGGGTGTCTAAATATGAAGCATATTGTCTTTGCATAATAGATTATTTGGATCATTCCAAAATAACTTACTTATTCGTACTGTTTGCATATGGAATAAGAACCTAAACATCACCAGATGTGGAATTTCAAAATGTGATTTCTTTGTGTTGTAGTTGAAAATTGCATTTGGTTATTTGAAATGCATGAGTAGTTTAGAATGAATTTGATTTCATTTTTTTATTATTAGTTAATAAGCCATCTGGGATTCTAGACGAAACATTGGTGGCAATCTCTTTATGACGTGTCAGCATTTTCTGTTCTTGGCAAACATGTGGCAGCTATGGTGTGTCATTGTATATAACTTGTTCTTCCTGAAATTTGATTAAAATCTGGAATTTATAGTTAAATAATGTACATTTTACTTCATAATTAGAATATTTTATTGAATTCCATTCCTATTCAGAGAAAAGTCTCTAAATTTCCCTTCTGGTAGCTGCCAGGTGAATTCTGCAGTTAAATTTTAGGAACAATAAGTTTGTAATAATAATGCAATTAAAACTTAAAAGACTGTCTCTGCTTTGAATTCTTGAGGCAGAAATCCTAAGAATTGAAAATCACAATCTACTAAACCTGTCCTAGTAGTTTCTAAACCTGCTAAAATTACAGTCTTCTCAAGAGCACCAAGTTGGACGAGAATTTGTTAGGGCATGAGAATGTTTTAGGGCTATTCATTATCCATGAGAATGATGTTAACTTTGAAAGATTTGCTTAATGATCATGAATTGCTGACTTCTGTAATAAAAGTTTTGTTATTTAGATTATAAAGTAAACTAATAGCATGATAAAGAATATTCTGCAATTTTAGGTTTAATGTACCACAGTACTTTTTTGGTGGGGCAATTTTATTCTTTGGGAGTGATATTTAAAAGATTTGTAGCGTTTGAAAAACAACAGTGATTTGACTTTACATGGCTGATTTTCTGCCTAACAAATACCCTGCTACTCTTAATTATGTGCTTATGAGCTATAGCACTCAATTTCTTTCAGAAATTCACGGTCTGTATACTGTATTTTAGATACATCTTGAAAAATCTTCTGCTGGTCTCAGAGTTAGATTAAAAATTTAGTCTTAGTTGTGGATTTAGAATGTATCTGGATTTTTTTCTTCATCTGATCAGATTATAAACAGAAGGCCTGAATGCTGTAATTTACCAGATAGAATGTAATTATGCTTGAAAGCTGTTGCTTCTTGAGTATGCTTTTGTGTGTGTGTGAATGTGTCCTTAGAGAACAATCTTAAATATATTCATAGCTGTTGTACTTCTCTTGGATGCAATTATATGAGAAGAGCATGATCATTTGCAAACTTGAAATTCAAGGAAGATAATTCAGTAAATCTTGGTGCTTAACTTGCATATGTTTATATAGAAACAGCTCTTTTTCAATATCAAATAAATTATTTCCCAGTTTACCTTGTTGAAAATACATATCCTTTGAATGAATGTTTGAAAATCAGATTCAAATATAATTTTTCCTCAAGCTCAGATTAATGTGAATGCATGAAATATTCCACAGATGATAATTACTATGTTTTGGCCTTCTGCGTTATTCTCTACTATCCAAAAGAGAAAAGAATAGTTAAATTTACAAAATTTATCTGGGAGATCTGATTTTCATCTGTGAAAAATGTTGTTGACCAGACTTTGCACACTTACTGTTGCTTGCTTTTTATTTTGCAGCTGGTTTATATGGAATTGTCTGAACAATGCTGTTTTTGAATACTTTTCAAGGAGAATTCATCTGATAAAAGAAATTATATCCTGTGATTTTTCAACCTACATATGGTTGTTTTAATTTACACTGTTATATGTCTGCCATACCAGATTGAAAAATGGGGTCATAGATTTATCATCTGAAACTATTTCTCAAAATTTCTCAATTTTGGCTTTTAAAGCTCAACAGGCAGAAGAAGTTCTTGGATCAACATTGCTAGTTTAACAGCATGATGCATCTGTAGATTCTCTTCTTTCTGTTCGAATTTTTGCCTTTTGGCGCTTGGTGATTTGTATGTGTTTAACAGACAATACTTCAGAAAATACTTTTTTTCCACTGGCTTGCAAAGTGTTCTACATTTGTTCCAGGTAAAATCATTTTCTGTTTTTTTTTCCTTCCTCAATCCCCATTTCTTTCCTCTGGTTACTTCTATATGGAACTGTTTTAGGTGAGAGGCAACCCTGAACCTCAGATCACGTGGTACAGAAATGAGCACCTTGTCACAGGAGAGCGCTGTGTAGCAGATTGCAGCATCCGAGGGATTTTCAGCTTGATGATTAAAGGGGTGAAGGAGGAAGATGGTGGTCTGTATACATGTCAGGCCAGAAATGCTGGTGGGATTCGCCAGGTGACTGTGGAATTGACAGTGGAAGGTAAGAATATTAGCAGTCTAGCACAGTTTCCATTCTGGAAGCTCTTTCTTTTTCTATGCAATGACTTGCCCCACCCCAATTTTGTTTATTTTTTTCCTGATTGAAAAAGCAAATGTGGAAAAATGAGGATAGAATGCCAGTTGGCTACCTTTTTTTTTTTTTAATGCCTTGGCTAACTCAGTGGAAGAAAGGAACACAGCGATTGAAAATACACAAGTTGAAATGTGTACTTGCGGCAAAGACTTTGAGGGACAAGGCCTTTAGCCATAAAACACTCTGAGAATAAATCAGGAACAATAAACCTATGATTTAAGAAAACTGTGTCTCTTCACAATTGGCTGTGGTGACCTGGGCTATTGGGACCTGTAGATTTTCAATATCTGGAGAGCTATAGATTACCCCATCCTAATCTAACCTATTGTCTTTGAGAGCTTGGAGGCTTTAATAGGAAACTGAATTAATTAATGGAGGATCAACTGAATACCATCTACCCTAAATACTCAATCTTCCCTCCAAGATTTGAAAAAGTATCTCTCCAAAGAGGTTTCAGTGCCTCCTGCACCCAAAGGCATTTGACTGGGAACAGAATGCTGAGTTGAGCTGTGCCTAAGGCTTTGCCTTAACCTGATCCAGCACAGCTATTTTTATACAGAATTCTCATCTGCAGGATACCAAGTGGGAAGACTACTTTGGTATTTCAAAGCAGGTTAACCTAGGTAATTTATAACAATTACTTTTGAGGATAGAACACGGTTATCCTCCTACTGCTTGCATAAGCATCTCTAGAAGAAACCCATGATATAGGGAGAATTTGATCTGAGGACATTTTGGTACAAATGTCAGACTTAACCACCATGATTTCTGTTGAGATCAGCATAAATGACTATTTACTAAATTTTGCATTAAATTGCATTAATGTTTTTCAATATTTTATGCTGTTCCCTATATTTTACAGAAACCAACTGTACCATCCATTAAAGTTCATAAAATTCACTTGCTCACATCCAGTAGATGGTGCTGCAGACTCACAACATAATACCTTCAACCCTGATTTAAAGTTTTGGCTGGATTACTTCTGCATAGGAATGTGTTATAGAAATGTCTTAGATATATTAAAGTAATAGATGCATTAATATATGGTGAATTAATATATGGCTTCAAGCTAGTCACTTGGAATTAAATAAAAACTTCTCACTGAACGACTATGAGCAGTTTTTGAAATAGCAAAAACAATTAAGCAGTTCTATTTGTATGTGTGGACAAAGGAGATAAACCATATTTTCAGTAGAAGTTTCTTATTTGGGTGTATAGGACTGTAGCTTGGGCTGCTTCTCAAAGTACTCCACAGCAAATAGCTGTTAGCGTGCTGCAATTACTGTACCTCATATGGGTACAAGTAAGTAAAGCTTGATTAGATGTGTTTTTCAGGTGGAGAATGAACAGATGGAGAAGCAAATGGTGTATTTTTTAAAAAAATATCATGAACAAATATGTTGTTGCAAGATATAGAAAAATCCATAAATTCAATTAAGGATCCCAATGATTTGCGGTCCTGATAAAGTATTTTTTTTATGTCTGACCATTTTTCTATTCTCTTTTAGGAAAAGTTTTGAAGAAATATAACTTGCCTTCCAGTTCCAAAAGTTCTGGGTAAGAGTTTGGGTGGCATTTATATACTTAAGAGCAGATATCTATTCCATAACATGCAGAGCTTTTGAAATATCTAAAAAAGGCAAGATTTTCTGTTTGGCTTTAGTCATAATAATTCTGCATTCAAAACATTTCATGGAACTATTTATGACAATGTTAATATATTTTCCTGTCTAGCCTAACTAATGGAGTTCATATTACTGATGCAAATCTGGTTGTGTGGTGTTTCTTCTCCTTCTTATACTCTTGTGAATTAGGGAGACCTGTGCCTGAGCCACTTCCAAATAATCTTGTTTCTCTCAACTTAAAAAAAAATTGGCTTAATTTCCCTAGGTAATGGTTCCTGTACATTTCTATCAAGTTCATCTTCCTTACTTTTTACAGTATTCAGTATTGTTAAGAATTGTAAGCCATTTGGCCTCTTTTGTACTTACTCTGTTCAGCTGACAGAACTTTGAACCAAATTTATAAGTAATGTATTCCACAAATGTATTTCTTTTTAAATTTGCTATTAGATCTAATCTAGGCATCTCTAGTGTGGCCAATAGAAACTTGCTTTTTTTGGGTTTCATGTATTTCATGTATTTTCTAGTATAACTATTATTTCACTAGGAAGTACAGATTATAATATTTATCTGCTAGGTGTTTTTTAAAGCAAGAAATAGAGAGAAGTCATTGGTGGCCCAACTTTTATAATTCCTTTGCCCTTTAATATATTTAGCTAATTAATTATCACCTAACTATAATTTACATATTAAGTTTCCCTATATTACATTGTTTACAATATAGTGTTTACTTTTTGAGCTGAAATCTCATAAGTTTCTTTTAGTATTGTAATATATTGCAGAAGATGAGCAAACTTGTTTGCATATGGGTAAGCATTTTGTGCAGAGCCATAACCATGACTTTAAATTTGCTTGAAACTCACAGCTTCATTTTCATCACTGTTGATTATTCACTACTATGTGTGATGGTGATATTTGCCATCAAAGTGAACCAGACTTCCTGTAACCCTAATTCTAACCTTCTGTGCTTGACATTTTTTGGAATTTAGCCAACAGTATTTTGGCTTGGAAATTTATAAAAATCCAGGTCCACCAGAACTGGTGAAGAACTGGTATGAACAAGATTAAATAGGTATTGCTTAGTGTATATTGAATGTTCTATTACTGTTCCTTATTTTATGGCTTTTTATCACAGTTTTAAATGATGAACTCACTGAACTGGTATTGGTTATTTGACCTTTGAATTTCTGAAATACAAGCAGAGCTTGATGAACATTTGCAAAAATATATAATTAATTTAATTCATCATACATAGCAAGGGACACATTCTGATCTTTTTTTGAAAGGCCTCGTTCTGAGATATTTATGGCAACATGTTCATCATCTTTAAAAATAGAGAAAGGATAAAAACTAATGTTGTTCCCCAGCTGCTCATTCTCAAATCACAAAATTCTTACAAGCTTCTTAGTATTACTTTTTAAATAACTTTTAGTACTTAAAATTTAAAAAGAGTGCTCATAAGGTAGTAAATGTACCAGTTGACTGAAACATCAAGAACAAGAGGGTTTCTCCCTGCACCTTTACAAATATGCCAGGAATTATTCCCCAAATTAACCAAGCCAAATAATGACAGTTTTACAGCATGTACCTGAAACAAAATACATTGTTTTTAGATGAATTGCCAGAAATCATCTGCAGTAAATAGTTCCAATTCTTCCAAAAACATATGTATTAGAGTCTGCTTTACAGAATCATATGAGTTTATTTACTTGGAAAAATATTCTGTGAAAGTCAAAGCCAAGTGTGGGATATTATCAATAGAGGGGCTGTTTTTCTTTCCTTTTTGATCAGGATGGCTTCTTTCTATCACTACTTTTGCAGGTAGAAAGAGGCTTCTGGGCTAGGTATTTTTTCCAAGCCCTTCAAATGGAAATTTTTCCTACATTTTATCCTGGGGATGGAGGGATAACTCTGATATTTTTCATCTTAATCTAATGGTAGCTTTGAGAAAGTTACCTGATTTATGCTTGTACAACATTGCATAGTTCTTCCAAAGACTCACACAGTTCAGTTGGACTCAGATGATGGTAAGAGAATGGGCAAGAATTCAGGAAATAATGACCAAGAAGAAAGCTTATTTGCTGCATTGCAGTTAGATCTGTCAAATAGTGTGGGGTTTTTTGGGGGGGAAGGTGCATTTCTGTGTATATTGCATGAAATCAGTAAGTAAAATGTTATTTAAATTCAGGAGAATTGTATTGTAAAGATCATTCTTATATATCTATTGAACTTGCACTTCCATAATGCACACACTAATGCACAGAGTTTCCGTTCTTCTTAAGTGCAAGAGTTTTCATGGAGACCAAGTATATTCTCGTGCCAAGTCTAAATCTACCATTTGTTCAAATGTGGGCATGTGTGCCTTCTCATAATACTGGAAAAAAGCAAGCTTTTGTTTTCTAATGCTTGAAGATACATGTACTCCAGGACAATATGTTTGGAATTCATTTCTAGAGTGGCACCATATTATATGTTGCCTGCAATATTCTGAAATTCAGTAAGAAGCATGATTCAGTAATAATATTTGATTACTTCATTCCAGGGGTCAGTCTGCTGTTCTACCTATAGAACAACGGCCAAGCATCTGGGGTGAATGTCCACCCAAGTTTGCTACAAAACCCAACCGGGTTATTGTACGAGAAGGACAGAGTGGTAAATTTTCCTGTAAGATAACAGGGCGACCTCAGCCTCGGGTCATCTGGTTCAAGGTATAGTTGTTTTCACAACTATTCAGATTTTCTGAAGAGTTGATTATACTTGTATATTGAGAGGATCTTCAATCCTGGTTCATTTTTCCTTTTCCTAGTCTAGTATTATATTTAGGGGGGAAATAGATCCTTTAGACCCCATTTGCATCACTAGTAAAATTGTGGTTTGGCATATCAGAATGTATCCTTTTAGTAACATTGAAAGACAGACTTTCATACATACAAGAATGTTCTAACTTTATTCAATTTCTAATTTTTACTTAAGTTTTTTGCAAAGTAAAATTAATAAGGAAAAAATAAAGTAACAGAAAATTCATAAGTAAATAGAAAAGAAATAAAAGGAAAAAAGAAAGATATAAAGGAGTAGCTTCTGATCTTCACAGAAACCCTCGGAAGTTGTGGGAGCGCCATCAGTTGAGACTTTCAAGAAGAGATTGGACTGCCATTTTGTCAGAAATGGTGTAGGGTCTCCCGCTTGGGCGGGGGGTTGGACTAGATGACCTATAAGGTCCCTTCCAACTTGGATTATCCGTTATCTGTTAAATTATAAATGCATTTATATTTTATCCTCTTTCTCTCCACGGTTTCATCATGGCTTCCTTTTTTTCCATATTCTATCCCTTTTAAGCATCAAACTATAAAATACATGTTCATTTTTTCCCAATTTTCACAAAACATAGGGTTTCTGGTTATTAAGAATGTCTTTTTCCCAACAAGTCAACGTTGCCATCTCAAAGTGTTCTAATTTTAGTGGTATGTAATACTTCTGACTTCTGATGGTATAAAATGATCAGATAATTTCTTGTCTCTGTGCAACATGAAGCTAAAATTAAACCTATTAAAATTAAGAATACTTGTCAGAATCAATTACAAGTGAAAATATCAGTAAAAGAAATCTGTCTCTATAGATTTTCTGAATGCTAAGAGAGTTGGGAGTCAAATTCAAGTCCTTTGAGAATGTGTGTCATAATTTTGAAGCAATACAAATGAGGAGAGAGAGTGGGGGAGAGAGAGAGAGAGAGAGAGAAGCACATACCAAAGTTTCATTTCTCTGATCTACCCCAATGTCACATTGTGGACAGATTTAATTATCCTGACCACAAAGAATACTGTAGATTGATCACAATATAAATTATCCCAGAGCTTTCTCTTGGTAGAAGAAATGTCATACAGTTAGGAAAAGCTGTGTTGGCAAGTTCAATATAGATGCTTTGGAGTTAAAGAAATAAGTACTATTTCTGTCTCCACTGCAATTGAACTATTTAGATGTGCTTTGCTCACTTAATCTGACTACACCTGAGAATTTCTGTGCTCTGCTGTAACTGATGTCTTATCCACTTCATCAATGTCCATTCCCTACTATGCCATGTGGCTCTATGAGAAGGAAGAGAATGCTTTGAAATAGTAGGGTAGCATCAAGTACCAGCTCACTTCCATCAACAGCATTGCAAATAATGATACAGAAGCATAATCAATAAATAATTCAAATCTGTTGGGTACCTGGGTTCATGTATGGGACCTTTACCCCTGCAGAATTTTATGGATAAAATTTTATGGATTATGGATAAAACTCTTGAGTATCTGCTTTGTCCACGATGATGAAGTTCCACCTGAACAGAAAGTGAAATCCAGCATGTGCCATATTACAATCATAGGCCAGATCCTAGTTGAACATGGTTAATTACATGGTTGAACATGGTTAATTACATCAGAATGGGTAACCCATCTAGGGAAGAGGAAAAGGTAGCAGGATGAATGGTAGCTAACAGTAGCCGTACATATCCCACCCATCTAAACATATGCACTCCAAACTGACAGAGTATATAGGATGGAACATCTTGTTAGCAAGATGGAATTCTTATAGATCATGGCCATTCTACCCACTCATTGCCCTTCAATTCTGACCTGTTTGTGTGTATGTAAAATACACGGTTTTATTACATAACTTTAAGAAGATAAAAACTAATATAAAGTGAGAAAAAGAAGAGAATAAGAAACAGATCAAGAAAGGTAAAAGTAGCTTCTGATCTTCTTTACAAGAGTTTTAAGTACAATTACAATTTTACCTCTTACTCAATGGTTAATAGCTAGCTCTCTTCTTTCTATATTCTGTCATCATCAAAAATATAAATCATAAATTAATTTTATTCTGTTTCATGCAAAAAGTCCATAAGGGGTTTTCAGTCAGCAATAAACATAGATACTGTTTTTTATCTTTTCAAAGTCAATTTAGCCATCTCTGCAAAATTATATTATCTTCAGCCATTCCCTGTTGTGGGTAGTGCCGAATCTACCCATCTTTGGGTATACAATCATCTCACTACAGTTATGTATAAAACAAAGTTCTATGAGTTTTTCAACTGTTTGTCCATCAACCCTACAAGAAAAACCTCTGGTTTCCATTGTATATTAATCTTTAAAATCCTTTGAACCAGTGTATTAAATTTTCTAGCTTTTTTATATGTCTACCAAACATGGTAAAATGTCCCTTCTTGTTGCTCACATTTCCAACATAAATTTGAATTGCCTTTAAATATTCTAAGTAACCTCTCTGTTGACATACACCATTGCACCACTGGTACCTCATTTTATAGAAATTATATTTAAGATTATAGTATAATATAAATTTAAGTCCTTTCAACCACATATTTTCCATTGTTCCATCTGTATATTATAACTACAGTTTTGGCCCACTTTATCATATATTTTTTCACTGCCTGCTTTAATGTTGATAAGTCCAACAGAAAGAGCTAAGAGAAGCAAACACTTAGAAGTTACCTTCAAGGATGTTGTGCTCAGACATGTCTTTTTCAAATAAAAATATCTTTTGATCCAGTGTTTAGAAGGTAAATATCTGACCTGGTTTAAAGAAACTAACTCTATAATGCTCATATTTTGAGTATTAATGTCAGGACTCCGACATGCTAAAAAAACTTAAAAAAATACTTCTTTGGTCTTTTTAGTTGTCAATTACTTTGTTTCTGGTGGAGTGGTTTATTTTTGAGGAGCATTTTAATATTATATGAATATGGCAAGGAAAGCACTGCATTGTGAAATAAAGAAAATAATAAAACATGAAATTAAATGATATATTTTTTCTCTTTTCATGCATACATCTAGACGTGTCATTTTATTTCTTGATGCATGCAGGATGAAATTCCGGTGCAGAAAAATGATCACTTTAACATGTTTGAGAAAGCAGGCATCCAGTTTTTGGAAATCCAAAATGTTCAGCTGGCTGATGCTGGAATTTACACTTGTACCTTGATGAATAATGCTGGGAAGGCTTCTGTGACTGCAGAACTAATGGTTCAAGGTATGGTCAAAACAGATTAAAAGGAAAAAATGCAGACTTGCCAACTAAATGTTTTCCAAGAGTTGGGCCAGTTCTTCTTTTACTTTTCAAAACTCTTTCCATCCTCCTGTTTTTTCAGAGTGACTCCTAAATTATGGTCCAAACCTACAAATCAGGTTTAATTTTTTTCCCAATTATTAGAAACAGATTATAGTGACATCCAGGCTCCTTTCTCTTCCTCCTAGTCATATTTAAAAAATAGAAGACATCTTGTGAGTGAAAATGGTGGTGGTGGTGGGGATGATGATAACGATGTCATTTTTTTGTTGATTCTGCTCCTGTAAACTAGCTCATACTTAAAGGAGTTAAGAGTCATAAGAGAGTATGGTTTTCCCTTTAATCATCACCCTAACCATGTAAAAAAGATTACATAAAAGACTGGCCCAATGTCATCGTATTAACTTCATAATTGATTTCTGTGCCTGGTGCTACATCATCAGACAAACAAGCTAATAATAAACAACAGCCTAATCAAGGAACTACCAAGATTAACACCATCAGTATATAAAATGAGAGCAAATCTCACTCCCTTCTAATTTTTACAGACTGTAAACTAACTGAGCATTGATTATTAAGATTGGGACAGAAAGAAGCAGAAAGGCAAGAGTAGATCAATCTGTGATAGGAATAAAAAAGACCAGTACATTTTTTGTAATCATAAAAGGTTTGAATCATGATCTCATGTGAGTTTGAGCTTCTCAAATCTGACCAGAAGGTAATTCCTAGCCAAGAAGATTAAGGATGAAAGGCAGCAGCCAAGCAAAGTGCATTGCAGAACGCCAAAGCACATCAAATAAAAGAACATATATCTACAGAGACACTTGATTTCCTTCTCTAGTTAGTTATATGCCAAAAATTTAATTAGTGGCTATTGTGTTGTTTCCAAGAAATTCCTGCCATTTTTATCATGGTAACACTTTTCAAGGATATTTCATTCTGTTCCCTGATCTCATTCATCTGCCTTACTGATCATCTTCCCATTCTTCTGTACACCTGAACCTTGCCAATTATAATTTTTTTCTAGCCTTGATTTGCTCTCATCAAATACCTAAATCACATGAACTTCTGCTTTCTGATCTTGGCCTCAAGAATGCCATCAGTGTTTATTTCACTCAGGATCAAATGATAGGTTCTACCTGAACCTCATGGTGTTATTAGTACAATATATTCCATAGTTCAAAGTAATCAATATTCTTTTTTTTTTCATTATTTCACAAGGGAGGAAAGGGAAGGGAAGAAAGGAAAGGAAAGGAGAAATAATAAAAATATTTTTATCTTCCATATTTCTTAAGTTTATCCTTTTCGTCTTCTCTTTTTGTGGATGGAAACTACATCTGGTTTAAATTGTAATGGTGCTAAAATGATTGTGTATATATGATTTTGTCATCATACAAATGCTGCTATTTTGTACTTGTACTTGTTAAAGCTGTGCCATTTGCCCAACAAGGTCATTTGACCTGTGTTCTCTTCCCTGCAGATGTCTATGTTCAGGGACAAGTTAACATGAGACCAGGGATCAAGAAGTATAGTTCTATCTTAAAGCGAACTGCAGTTTATACTTTAGCTTGAAATGTTAGGTTTCATTTTTAATCTTTTGTCATTTCAGGTTCTCTAAAAAGGGATGCATGTTCTCAACCTTTTTGGTATGTATTTTCCATCCCTTCCTCCGTTATCTTGGGTTTTACCTTTTAAAAACAACATAGATAACACATTTTATGTTATTATTATTGTTTAAGCCTTCAGCTTACCTGCTGTCAATTATGTATGTCTTTGAATCTTCAATAGCCAAACATGACATATGGTTGTCATGTAATAGAGCATTTCAGCTTTTGATTCTCTGAGAACAGAATGGGACAACCTATCACAGCCAACTCATTAGAACCAACTCACCATTGGCCAACTTGCTGCTGGACAACTTGCCACTGGCCAACTTGCTGTGGGACAGTTTAACAATTCTATTTAATTATTTAAATAAATAAAAATTAATTTTAATTTTTTCCACTCATATTTCATTCTGCCCCTCCTTTTTCATCCTTTCTTAAATGATTCTATTCTACCATTTCTTTGATATTAGTGTAACTCTTGTCCTGCAGTGAGTTGTCCGGATGGTGAGTTGTCCATGGCGAGCTGTCCCACAGTGAGTTAGCTGGAACTGAATGTTTCAAGCCTTGTTTATTGAAATTATTTTTACTGAAGTTACTGAAAAATAAATGTGGGATTTTTACTTGGTTTGCCTCATAATATATGCATTGGCCTTATAAAGAGTGGCTTGCCTCATCCACAATTGTTTTGTTTATACAGAAGTAGCATGTCAAAATGCAGTTCTGTTCCTTTTACATAAAATATTATACACATTTGATGTGAAACAACGTCATGGAACAGAAATCAAATGATCTGCCTAAAATCAACATTCAAACATTAAGCAAGTGGTTTTTAAGAAATACATTTACTTTTACAAATTGTTCTCTTGGCTTAAGAAAATATTTTCCCTTTAGCACATCAGTAAATCCCAGTGCCTCTACAAAATCCACCATTATTACCAAAGCTTTTGAAACCTCAGAGATCAGAAAACCCACTAGCAATGGGATAGTTAAAGACCTCAAATCAACTACGACAGAGCTTTTGCTAGAATCCAAAGAAAGGCCATTGGTGAAGAGAGAAATTCACCTTGCTCCATCCAAAGTAGCGAAAGAGACTCAATTACAACAAGTGAAGGAACCCATCAGAGAGCCACCTAAAGAAGACAAGAAAGGCCAACAGGTTCTGCAGAAAACATCAAGCACCATAACTCTTCGCTCTGTGAAAATACAGCCCAGACCAAAGGCAGAATTGAAGGCAGCTTCCTCTGAACTGGAAGTTAATGGAGAAAAAACAAAGCAATTACTGGCAGCAGATTGCCAGGCTGCTTTGTCTACCAGGCCAGATAATCTGACCCCTGAAGAATCGGAAAATCATGTTGAGTTAAAGAAGAGTGCAGCAGAAATAAAGATTCAGAGAATCCCTCCGCAATTTGAGTGTCGGCCTCAAAGCCAAGAAGCATTAGAAGGAGAAGTGATTACATTTAGATGCAGAGGTAAGAAAGCATTTACTGATTCCTTTCTGGGATGTTTTTAAACAGAAAATAGATGGCCATCTCACCATGGATATCAAAGGAGTTTTTTTTTAACCATTGACAAAGGTTGAGATATTTTCAGCCAGAGCTTTTACGTAGCATGGGCAATGTGGGTTGGCCTCTTGTTTCCCTAGACAAGCATAGACAAATAACTGCACTTACTGTAACTATAAGGTAAGTGTGGTTAGTTTCTCTTGTACAGCATTACCACCCCCCATTATGAGGCTTTGTCTTCAGCAAAAAGTAGATGAAATGCAAGGGGCACAGTACCCAGTCTGCCTAGAATGGTGTACAAGTTCAGCTCTAATCCCCAGCATACTGCCCCTTCTGGAGGAAACCAATGGAAGAGCTGAAAAAAGAACATTATAATCAGATCACATAGGTCAAACTGGCTAGATAACACTCCTGCTTTCAGCTATAGAATTTGATAATGAAAGCCAAAAGTTATATTAGTAACACATGGGTATGTGTGCAGAAGCATGAGGGAATAGAATAAGAATGGATTGTATTACTTTATACTTCACAGGGAAAATCACGTGCATTACAGTCTTTCCATGTGAAAAAAGTGACTTAAGATAGTTTTTCATAGTTATATCCTTTGCAGCATCGTTTGCAGATCATGTGGTCAAAATTCAGACACTTGGCAACTGGTTCATATTTATTACTTCAGGGTCATGTGTTCAACTTTTGTGACCTTGTGACAAGCAAAGCCAATGGGGAAGCCAGATTCACTTAATAACCAGGTTACTAACTTACCAACTGCAGTGATTCACTTAACAACTGAGACAAAAAAGGTGGCAAAATGGGGCAAAACTCACTTAACAAATTTCTCATTAAACAACAGAAATTTTGGGCTCAATTGTGGTCGTAACTGAAGGACTACTTATATAGGAATTTAGGAGAATTAGCAGAGTTGATTTAAAATTACTGTTATGTTGTACTTCTTTAACATGGAAGAGCATTCAGAAATATCTTGCTACCACATGTTGGCTAGACAGAGATGCCAAATTCACAATAGGACGATGTTTCAACTGTTTAGATTTAGAACAATGACTTCAATGTTTTTATATCGTTAACTCTCTTAATTAAATTCAAGCATAGTCTGGTGGATTTTGATTTAATGTAAGTTTGTTTTAACTTTGAAAATTAAAAACTGAAAAATAATGTGACATTGCTTTTTCATTTACATTCATTTTTTAAAAAAAATCTGAAGGAAAATTTGGAAGATATTTTTGTACAGTACTGTCCTATGGATCTAGTTAAACAAAATCTTTTTTAAGTCTGCTAATTAAGATTAATTGGATGAGCCAAGAAGATATTCTGCCTTGATTATTTGTTGGAAAAAAATCAAATTCAACTTTCTCCAAACAACATATCATATTATAGTTTTGCAACTAAGATTATTACTCTAAACTATTATTGTAAAACTTAATCTAGACAGGCAGAATTTTATTTCGGTCATTGGCCAGTCAAAAATGAACAACACAAATCTAATCTTGAATAGTTGAGTAATTTTTTAGCAGTGTCAAAATTATGGTTACTCTTTAAAGGGCAAAGCTAGGGATTGGTGGTAGCCAAGAAAAATACTGAGACATTGTGAAATTGTAAAATTTAGACCACCATCCCCATCCTTAATCCACCTGTAATAAACTAGTTTCAGGGAAACCCCAGGCAACTGTTGAATGGTTCAAAGAAGGAGCCCTCCTGGAAACGGGAGACAGCATCCTGATCTATGAAGAAGATGGAGTCCATTGTTTATGCCTGAAAAAAACTCAGCTGGAAGACAGTGGATTTTACTCTTGCAAAGCTTTCAATCCTGGAGGTCAAGCTTCAACCAGGTGGCTATTAACAGTAAAAAGTAAGCATTTTTTAGTTGCAAAGTATGCTTAGGTGACTGTCTAGGTATGTAATAGTTTCTTCACCTGGGAAAAAAAGATACTCCCTTTCATAGTATAAAACACACTAAATAATGCCAGTGCTACATCCTTTTAGACCTGACTCTTCTCCAAGCTTTGGGCTAGGGTGGGATATGAGGGTTTTTTTCATGATGTGTTTTATGTCTATTTCACTAGGATATTATCTTTCTTTCTTTTCTTTTTTTGTCTGCTGCTGTTCTACTTCTTTGGTGTTAAATTTGTATGCTACCTAGAGTCACCAAGAAGTAAGCAAAATTAGAAATATGAATGAAAATAATGTATACATATCAATTTGCATTCTCATTTTAGATTGAATTCCGTTCATATGAACTATATCTGAAGTTCTTGACTAGAAGCAACTAAACTTTGTTAATTTTGCTGACTATGTTTCTGACACATTAGTAAAACATGTTTTTCTCTTTAAGGATTACCTTTGTCATTGGTCTAGAATATCTTATTCTGAGATCATCTGTTAGCATTGAATTTTATTAACTGCCTTTTGCTTTGATCTGTAGGGCCTAAACTGAAGGAGGTACCTCCCCATTTTCTCCGGGTCTTGAAATCCTGCCGTGTGAGTGAAGGGCAGGATTTTACACTTCGGTGCTCAGTTGAGGGGATACCTGTTCCTCAGATCACCTGGCTCCTTAACGGTAAGGTCACGATCAGAAAACTTGTCCATACACATGAAGAATCAAGTAATGGGTTCCAAATTATCTAAATTTGTCCTCACATTTTACAAATGGACAATTTATTTCACTTTTATGTATGACCTGGAGCAGACAAGCAGAGAAAAGAGGTTTGCAATGCCTCATCTTTTGACAGGAACATATAAATATGGGCTTTATATATCACACTAAACTATGGTTTGCTAAATCACAAGTTATTTAATAAACTGCTATCAGAGCACTTCGTACTTCCTTCCTACTAAGACATAAATGATTTATTACAAACCACAGTGTCTGGTTTCACCAATATTTTAACTAAAATAAAATTCATCACATAATAGTTTCATCCCAGGCCACTGATGGATTTTGTGTGCTCCTCTATGGTTTTCAGGTTCTGAGACTCACTAAAAGGCTATTTTCTTTGATTTGTCAATGAATTTAAGAACAGCTTTGAAGAACTCAGTAGGACAGATTAATTATCTTCATTATCTTAAAATTCTCAATTTCAAGGAGTCCTCATTCAACAACTTTCTTATTTAGTGACTATTTGCGATTACAGTGGTGGTGGAAAACTAATTTTACAACCTTCACAGGACTGCAAAGCAAAGGAAATCTCAGTAAGCTTAGTAAGCTTCTAAGCACACTCAGTTTTCATTTAGTAAACGATTTACTTAACAACTGAATTGCTAGTCTCAGTTGTGATTGCTAAACCAGGACTGCCTACATATTAATTTCTTTTCCTCTGTGAGGAGCCTAATCTACAAGAGAGAAAAGGCAGCAGCTGTGCTAGTCTTTAAAAGCTGTCCAGCAGGGAGCATTAGTGACAAGGCTGCATTTCATACTCCTGGCTCCAAAGAATAGGCTTTATTTCAATTGAATATAGACTTCAAGTGATAAGCTTACATTTTGAACAATGTATTAATTACCAACTGAATGAGGTTTATGCCACCTTTTTGTACCCTTCTCATTTTTTTCCTGAAGGTCGAAAATGGTAATTCTTAAGCATTCAGTATTTATGAAAATGGGATCCTGTTGAAGTAAGGATAAAGAATCCCCTTTCGTGTGTGATTCATCTTCAGGATTTCTGAGAATGACAGTGAAAAATTAGGGAAATACTTGTACTTATTCTTCCATGGTCATTTACTCAAAAAGAGTTACTACTAGAGATCGCCTGTATGTAACTCTTCATGCACATTGATTCTTTGCAGAAAGGTAAAGGTATCCTTGCAGTTTTACTCCACTAATTGTAGTCGACTTTAGGAGGCAGTGCTCATTTCCATTTCTTTCAGGCATTGATCCCGCGCTGTCTGAAGACTTGTGGCCAGCATAACATCACTGCAGTGCATAAGCGTATGGTGAAACACAGAACGTTGTTACCTTCCCACCTATTTACCTATTTGCATTTACATGCTTTCAAACTGTTAGTTTGGCAGGAACAGAGGCAAGTGATGGGAGCTCATTCCGTCATGTGGTGCTAGGACTCGAAGTATAGACCTTATCTGGTGTCTTTTAAGTCACTGACCAACTATGCCTACTGATTTATACATATTGACCATGGCTTAGTTTTTTACTCTTACTTGTACATAGGCGATTCTGATTCATGCTCTATTTTGTAATAGAAACAATAGAAATCAATTTCTATATAAACTATAAGAGCAATAGCTCTTAGACTTATATACCGCTTCATAGTGCTTCACAGCCCTCTCTAAGTGGTTTACAGAGTCAGCATATTCCACCACGGCTCTATGGCATAGATCAGGAGTGTCAAACTCAATTTCATTGAGGGCTGCATCAGGGCTCTAGTTGACCTCGGGTGTGTGTGTGGCCGATGGTGGGCGTGGCCAGCTTGACACCACTCCCCAAACTTCTGGCATATTTCCTCTTTGCATTGGGTAGACCGGGCTGAAGCCACACTGGCCTGATGTTTCCTCTTTGCATTGGGTAGACTGGCTGAAGCGATGTGGGCCAACCCCTTATATTTTCCAGGATGGCCCGCAGACCGGATCCAACCACATCGCGGCCGGGCCTTGTGTTTAACATCCTTGGTGTAGGTGATATAAATGTGATTGTACTTTATGTTGTTTCTTTGCATTTATTATGATCAAAAAAATTTAAATCTGATTTACAGATGGCAAGGATATATGGAATTCAGAGGTGAGAACAATTGGAGCAATTATGATCGTAAATGGAGGATACCCTCTATATGCTTCAGCACATCTCAGGGTCCCCCCCCCCCCCCCCCCGCAATGTGAATGTACATTTTTAATGGCACATTCAGAACTGGGTTCATTCAAAGGATCTGGAGGAAAAGTCAGGATTTTTTTCTTTATTAAAAAAAATTCAATCCATTTAGGGTTTTGGAATTTAAATCCTGAATTTAACCCAACAGAAGATGGTTTTGCCTAATAGAAGTGTCAGGAATTTATAATTATGAAGGAGACCTAGTGTTTTATCTGCAAGGCATAAACAAGTTACTTTTGTTCCCAAGTTACAGCACTCACAAATAACTCTCTCTCACTTCTGATCATGATGCAGAGCTGTTTATATATCATTTGGTACTGGCTTGGTTTAGTTTATAAACTATAACCAAACATTACATTTTCATGTAGCTTCTCACCATATACATTTTAGGACAATTTTATTTAAGAATCAAGTTGGGTAATTACATTATGCTTGTGAATTCAAACAACATTCAGTAAATGATGATTACATTGCAGGAAAGGATAGTTGCCTATTACCCAATAAAGGCGAGAATTCCATTCCTAATTCATGATTGCTAATACCCAACATGCTTAATTATGGTACATTGCCTAAGTGGCAACTCAGGACAGTACTGTGTTAAAATATTGTTCAGCTGGCAGACTGTAACTTGATGTTTGGAATTTAGAATTTAGAATATTTCCATATTGGGTCAAACATGGATATCGTGGTTTTCAAGCCTCAAATAACCTTGGGTTGCTTTTAAAGATGATTCCATAGTACACAGATAGTACTTAACTATCTCTTTGAACTTAGGCCAGACAGTGTCTGTTAGAGGTTCCAGTTTAGGAGACAAGATTAAAAGTATATAATAAGGTGAGGGTATGCTAAATACCTGTACAGGCTTGAATTCTATAAACAAAGACAGGATTCATGAAACCAAAGGCAGGAATAGACTTTAATAAAGGCCTGTGTATAATTAGAGACCCAGTTTGGTAAAGTGGTTAAAGACAACAGGCTGGAAACCAGGATCATTCTGAGTTCCAGTCCTCCTTTAGGCTTGAAGCCATCTAGGTGACTTTTGACCTTTCACTGTCTTTCAGTCGTAGTAAGAAGGCAGTGGCAAACCACTTCCAAAAATGTTGGCAAGAAAACCACTAGACAGTTGACAAGAAAACCACTAGACAGTTGCCAGAGATCAAGTATGACTTGAAGGAACAACAGCAACAACAAAAGGATACTCAAAATAGACTCAAGGAAATATTTAAGATTGCTAAGGTAATCCTATGCATTAAATTTTATTCAGTCACAGATAGGAATTTTTAGATTATTTATTTACTTATTTAAATTATTTATATAGCCCTCCCCCCATCTTATGCAACATAACCCCGGGTGGTTCACAACAGTAAAAAAAAATCCACACAGAAATTTTTGGCATGCCAACATACAACACATCCTCACTCATCCACCAACAACTTGACATCTCAGGAAACAATGTTATACCCTAGACTGACTTGTAGATATTAAATGATTTGTGGTAGAAGCACCTTCCTTGTTCAAATTCTTTCAAAGTTATGTTGACATTATACTTAAACTGATTTTTACATTATGTCCTTAGTTATGCTTATATTTCCATATACATTTTCAAATAATAAAAACAACATGCAGCTCATGATAAACAATGTCAAGAACAATTTGTTAACCAAGTTGAGGGTTTATGGAAAGAAAGAATCATCCCTTCGTGTTTTCAGCTGGCTGAGATGGTGAAACTGACTACTTTGATTATGGAAAAGACTTTTTTTTCCCTATTGGAGACCATTTTGGGACTTTTTGTTTGAAACTGAAGTGAAACTCTAATTCTAGGATTTGACAATTAGAACTATTCGTGATTATAGAAATACTGTATACGTTAATACTGTGTATGTTAATCTTAGAGTAAGATGTTAATGTACTTTATATCTACAGTATATCTAGCAAAGAAGGTCTGAAATTATTCTTTTCCTAAACTCCCAACTTCATCCTTTTTCTAATCCTTTCTCCCCCCCCCCCCGTCTCATTGAAACTTTCTTTTAAAGAAAGGAAAATTCTATCAAAGATTCTGTTAAATTGATAAAATACAAACTGAAGTTGAACAGAACTATGTATAAGATATTGGTGCCAATCATGTGCATCAAATTGAAGAGCTGTGTTATATCTCTTTATCTTGGTGAAGTCATTTATCATCAGTATATTATTTCTATAGTTTGGCGTAGTGGTTAAATTTCTGGCCCAGAAACAGTGAGTAGTAGGTTTTCCTTAGGTTGGGTGACTTTAGGCCAGTCACTTTCTCAGCCAAACTGAGAGGGTTGTTGTTGTTGGGAAAATAAGCAGAAGTATTATATTCATTATCTAATGGATTGACTTTTCAAAGTTGCTGTGAAGCAAAGATGGCTCCCCACATGAAGGAAAGGTTTTTTTTCTTCTAATTTTCAAATTAAATTAGATTTTACAGCATTTTGTATCTATGTCTGCTGAAATAAATGATTTTCAGAGTGATAAAGATTCATGAGACCATTATGTAAACAGCCAGCTACAAAATTATTCATTATCACTCAGGAGACCCAATTCCTATCATATTACAGAAAGCCTATTAGAAAACAAGGTCTCTCTACAAATATATATTGGTTATGAGGAGTTTTTAAAGATCCAATATACAAAACAAAGCATGAAAGACTTGTAAACCTGTTCAAAATTTGTCTATATTCATATAATTTTAAAGGTAGAAAATTTTACTTTCTCTAGATTAAAGATTAAAGTGATGGTCAACTAAAGCCAAAAGACCAATCTTTTGCTGCTTTTTACTTTAGAAGAATAGAATGTATCAAATTGATATTTGGTGTATTTGCTTTACCATTCCAATATTAGTTCTGTCATTCCCTGGAATTGCATTGCTTCTCCTAAAACAACTATATATGCCTATTTTAGGCTATTGCTATCAATATAGCCATTACTAAATTTCCCATATAGAGTTAATCAAGGGCTTCAGTTAAAACTTAACTGGCAATCTCTCATAGCTGGCATTTTGAACTTTGTCTTAGACTTTGGATCCTTTTCTCCCTCTCTGGGCATCAATGCTGGATAGCATGCCTCTTTTACCACCATGTCATGTCTTATTTTTTTGCACAGAGGTATCCATACTGATTTATCTTCAGTGCTCTTGAATCATCCAGAAAATTCTTTGTCTTCTTTCTAAAATTACTTATTCCCATTTTGTCTTATTAGCTCTTTTTGTCATATTAGCCTTTTAATTTTTTGTCCCTGTTCTGTATAGAAGCCTTATCTGATTTTCCCAGCTCTTTTCCATCCTCAAGTTATCAGCTGCAAGTATTGATGGTATGTCTGGAGATTATATGACAGATGGCAGGCAGTGTTTAAATTCTGTATTCTGTCGCATTGGTTCTAAGTGGGAAGTAGTCATTTACTAGAGTTCTTGTAATGTCATCCTTTTTTCTCAATACAACATGTTAAAGAGACAATGAGAATAATTCTCGGAAAGAATTATTTTCAGTTTTAGGCACTTGCCAAAGAGTCTGTTATATGTATAAAATCACTGTGCTCTTTTGTTTTTAAATCTGCTCATCTAGTTTATCAGTGTCCATAATAATTTATTGCTGGGGCTGTTGTAAATGCTTTATCAAATGGTCAACGATTGTGCATGATACAGATTTATTTTAAAAGGGTCCATATTTGAGGGTCCATATTCTTCCATTACACATTTGTGGGTGCAAACTGGGAACTTCAGCAAATTTCTTGCTTTTCCTTCTGTTTTCTGTAGATCAACCAATTCAGTATGTGTGTTCTGACTTTGACGATGGAATTGCAAAATTGACTATTCAAGATGCTTTACCAGAAGATGATGGAGTATATACGTGTCTGGCAGAAAATGCTGCTGGAAAAGCTTCCTGCTGTGCTCAGGTTACTGTTAAAGGTAATTATGAAGATAAATGTCCAGCTGATCTGTCCTTTGAGGACTGAACTGAAAACTTTAATTATTTTCTGTTGTTTTTTTTACTGTTCAGTGGAAATACAATCAGTGGTCATTGATGAACTGATCTTGTTGTATCTTTGACAGATGTATCTTCTTATATCTTAATCTACTTATCCGTTAAGAGGCGTATTTGAGCTTGTGCAGAGTTTTATGCATCCTGCTGCTTTTAAAAACCCCTGCCCATATGTTTGACCTTTACTTAGTAGCATGATATCTTTCAATCGATTTGAAAAACATTAATGAGTTATATTTCAGTAAATTATGGTAAACTGCAGTTTTCTGTAATTGGAATTATTTCCTTCTGTACTACTACTACTATTTTGATTCCAATCTTGATTAATTTTATAGCAAACTTCCTCAATCTGATGTCCTTCAATTATTTTGGAATTGTAAATTTCCAAATTTCCAGTCAGCTTTTGACAATGTTGGAAAAGGATTTTGAAAGCTTTAACTCCAACATATAAAAGTCTGTCTAATTGAAGAAGTCTATTCTACAAAGATAAATTAGAGTAGAGAAGAGATAGAAATAAGAATGACAATTTGAGAAACCATGAATTGCCTCCAGGTGAAAAGACTGAACTCCTTCATTACTCCACTTTTTAAATTCCTATATTCTGTGGGCTGACACAATAAGCTTTTAATTTCACATTTATCTTAATCTTCAAGCATTCTTCATCCAGATTCAATCTAGGCAGAAATCTGCTTAGCTTCAATAGTATTTGCAAGTAACATTTTAATTATGATTCCAAGTATCTATTGCTGTTTTGAATGAATGTATATTACATAGCTCCAGTGAAGAAACAGAACAAAATGACAGACCAGGGGTTTATTTTAGAAAAATAATAAAAAAGAGTTATAGTATTGGGTTTAAAGACATTTGGGTATAGCACCATCTTTGCAAATCCTCTGTGTTATTGATCTGAATCTGCTGTTCTGAAGACACAGATAATTGCTAGGAAATGTCATTAGACAATCACTGCTATCTCTCTGTAGAGAATACAAAATTTCATTTCTTCGGTGTACTATTCCAAGCTAGTGAAGAACAACAAAAAATACCTTCAACTCTCCAGTGTACACACTTCATATTTAACTGATGCAAATTAGCATGGATAAACAATTCAATGTTCTCTAGAAGTTTTGGATTTCAACTTGCATCAACCCCTTTCATCAGCCATGTTGGCTGAGGTTGACAGGAGCTGAAATCCAACAGTTCTGGAGAATACTAGGTTGTCTTTTCCAAACAAATGGATTATGATGAAGCAAATAATTTGAAGAAAGTTACCTGGCACTAAATGGCTTTGAAGTGGACCCACACGACTTTTCTCCAGAAATCCTTTGGAGCTTTCCCCTTAAAAATACATTATTGAAGAAAACAAGAAATATCGAACCCAACCAAGAGATTTTGACATTAACAGTCTTGTAAAAAGATTATTGTATATAAGCAGTTTGTAAAGCAAATGGAATTTTTTTTTTTAAAGGGACAAGTGTGTCTTTATAAATTCCACTGGATTATGTGATCAGATTTGAAAACTGAAAGCATATTACCAGCCCAAAAGGAGATATTCTGTCAACTGGATATAGAAATATCTTGAATGTAGAATATTCTCTGTTGCTGATTTGCTACTCCTGGGAATAAAATTCTCCCTACATTATATGTCTGTTAAGCTTGCCTTCTAGAGAAGAAGAAGCTGCTGTTGATAAGGAGAAAAATAGGTTCTTGGGGAGAGAAGTGAAGCCTCTTTTGAATCAAGAGGCTGTTCTCCTGCAAGATAGGTTTTCAGTTGAAGATTGTTCTCTGATCTCCAACTGCCATTGGATTTGCAGAGGCACTGGTAAAGTGCAACATATTTGTTGGAAGCAACCGCTGCAATCTTTTCTGTGCTGGTCTAATTTAGCAATGGCTGCATGCCGTCTTTATTACTGCAGTGCAATTTATGTAGGGTTAAACTTGAAAAATATCTGGAAATTGCCATTAGTGGAAAATGCCAGGCTGCTTAACAGGAGTATAGGGATCATGTGAAGCTTATTCTAAAAGACCTGCACTAGCTGATTATTGCCTCTTGGGCTCAATTTAAGGTGATGGCATTGACCTTTAACATTGTAAATAATTTTAGGTCCTTATTAACAGAAGGATTGTCTCTTCTGCTAATCTTTCCATTACTAAGATTAGCAGAGGAGTCCCTTCTGAAGACCTCCCCCCTCAAGTTTTCTACTGTGTGACTCCCCAGCTGTCAAGCTTAGTATCAGAGTTTGGCGGTAAATCTCCATTCTTCAGATACTTAAAACCTTATTCAGGAATGGGTAGAAGACTTTCAGGTATGGCACAACCAAATTAAATTCTATGTTGAGGTCAAGAATTATGCCATATACATACAGATTTTTGCTCTTTGTGGAGATAAAAAAAATCACAGTCTATACAGGTCTGTAATCCAAAATATAGAGACTTGGCTTTTTGTGTTCTGCCATTCTGAGTTAATGGATGCCTTCATTTGATGACATTGATCATTTCAGACATATTTAGATAATAGTCCTCTCTACCCTGGGAACTGCTGGGTGTTGCTTTGTCAGACCTTACACAGGCTAAGGAAGATACCTTTCACAAATCTGAACGGAATAAGAGATACTCATTTTTCAAGACCTACTAGCTATGTGAATGAAAAGGAAAAAAAATGTGTTGCTCTCTGTGCCTGAAACAATCATATTGAGGCTCAATACTTGGGCATACTGTTCCAGGTAGGTTGCAATCTAGCACAACCCAAACCTGAAACAGTTTGGTTATTCTGAATGTTGACGGAGACAAGCTCCAGAGAAGCCTTGCAGGATGAGTAAGACAAAGAGAAGACACCTTGCTCTTCATTCCCTTCCTCTTCTACATGACTTGTACACCAGCTGACCTTTCTAGCAAATTTCTTTCTCCCAGACCTGCTGTTTTTGAATTCAAACATGGCAAATGTAAACAAATTGCTTGCCTCTAGTCCAGCATTATGTGTAACAAAATAACAGAGTTGGAAGGGACCTTGAAGGTCTCTTAGTCCAACTTCCTGCTCAGTCAGGAAACTCTATACCATTTCAGACTATTGGTTGTCTGGAGTTTTGGAGCACAGTGGCACAAGTCCTTTCCCTGATTAATTGTTCTGACTATCAAGAATTTTTTCCTTAGTTCTAGGTTGGTTCTCTTCTTGATTAGTTTCTATCCATTACTTCTTGTCCTGCCTTCAGCTGCTTTGGAGAATAGGTTGACCCCCCCTCTTCTTTGTGACAGTCCCTTAATTATTGGAACCCTGCTATCATGTCACCCCTAATCCTTCTTTTCATTAAACTAGACATGCCCAATTCCTCCAACCTTCTTCTGTTTTAGCCTCCAGTCCCCTAATCATCGTTGTTGCTCTTCTCTGCACTGTTTCTAAAGTCTCAGCCTCTTTTTTAATATTATGGTGACCAAACTGGTGGCAATATTTCAAATGTGGTCTTACCAAGACATTTTAAAGTATTAACACTTCACATGATCCTGATTCTATCCTTCTGTTAATGCAGCCTAAGGCTGTGTTGACTTTTTGGTAGCTGCAGCAGTTTGGTAACTGCTGGCTCATATTTAAGTGATTGTCCATTAGGACTACAAGATCCCTCTCGCAGTTACCATTATTGAGCCAGGTTGCATTGTGTTGTATTGTATTGTATTGTATTGTGTTCCATTTTATTTCACTTCACTTTACAGGTTACACTTAGTCTATTCTTATAGCATTTCCTTTATTAAGTAGATGGAGCTGAGAGCGAATTTCTGGCATCAAGTTCAGTAATCGTTCATGATTGAGAATGTATTTGAACTTGATCTCCTTGATCCTAATTCAATACTTGACTTACTGTACTACTTTGGCTCTCCAATGGGAGAGGTTTTCACAGTGGCCAATGGGATTGTTCTGGACTTTTAAAGCTATCCATGTTGATGCCCATTATATATCTTCTGATTATTAATTCCTAGGTCACCAATAATTTTTATTGTCCTCTTGTGCAATTTTATTTGTTCTACTACATTCCTCTTCAATTACATAAACATAAATCATTCTGCATAAATCAAACTGCAGATGTATCATAGATCTATATAAGAGCATAACAATTTTGGCATTTTTATTTTAATTATTATAATGTTCCTAAGCATCGATTTTGCTTTTATGTTTTACAACTGCTACACGGAGTTTCCATCTTCATTGGGCTATGCCAGGGGTCTTCAAACTTAACAGCTTTAAGACTTGTGGACTTGAACTCCCAGAATTCTTCCTTTAGTCATGTTAGCTCAGGAATTCTGGGAGTTGACGTCCACAAGTCTTAAACTTGCCAAGTTTGAAGACCCTTGGGATATGCAGTAGGCTCTTAATGTCTTTTTCTAAGACAGTTGGTGGATATCTCAGATCCCATCAGTTTATACATGAAGTTATAGGTGTCCCAGTGTGCATCTCTTTTCACTTTCTTAAATTCAGTCTGATTTGCCCCTGGGTTCTCTAATCAGCCAGTTTAAAAATATTTTTCTGCCGTTTGTTACAATCCCTGTTTTTTCATTTCTTACATCTCTCCATTGAGAAAATGTCCCATTTATTTCTATTTTAGTATTTTTTTGTTTTTAGTCAATTAGTAGTCCACAAAAAGGCCACTTTTTTTTAATCCCATGTCTCCTAAATTTACTCAAAAGTGTTTGATGAGAAAATTTTATTAGCATCAAACAGAAGTGTTATTTGCATCTTATAAATAACTGGATGATTTGTCATAGAGATTTCCCTATCTCCACCAGGACATCTTGGAATTCACCAGTTTTTACTAATGTGAACATCCTTTCATTTGTACTGTTTTGCTTACAGTACTTTGATTAATCTCCTTGTTTAATTATTGGTGAAAAGCCAAGCAGCTGATAGCATATACTTAGGTTTCCCTTCTCCTTCAAAGAGACA